CACCATGTTCCCACTGCTCTTCGGCTCTGACCAGGGCTCCAGTTAGCTAGATGCACAGGCCCTGGTACCCACGAGACGCCAGCGTGGGGGATGGCTCTGCCAATCCACGATGCTGCATCCACAAAGCTCAGCTGAACCCCAGACAATATCCGCCATCCTCACAGTACCCGGTAGAAATGAGACTCTTAAAGCTTAATGATTATCTAAAGGATTTATATATTCAGAAATGCTCAATCAGCAAGATGCCCACACAGTTAGAGTTGTTACCCAATATCTAACCTTCTGATAGAAGTTGCTACCCAGGACAGGTTTCGACCCATCCATGGTTCTCCATGGCTGCTAGCCTCCTTCTTCTCCTCCCCTTCCTCTCTTTCTCCCCTCCCCTTCCTCTCTTTTCTTTCCCAGCTCCACCTCCTCTTCTACTGCCTAATCACCGAGCTCCACTGCAAATACAATGTAGCAGAATAAGTGTCCTGCTACAGGAGACCAGTTAATTTATCAGTGAAATTAAGCCTTTTTAGAATTGGCTTGGAACATGATGGAGGAAGTGAGCCTAATGGGTGGCCTGATCACATCAGAGAGAGCAGGTTCATTCCGGATGAAAGGACCAAGAGCATACCAGTTGGCTGGTGCACAAAACACAGACACTGGGAGTGTCTCTTCAGGCAGTGCTTGACCACACGGTTGAGCTGACAAAGGGCTCTCCTGGGAATCTGCTCAGATGCATTACCTCATGGCACACTAAGCTCAGAGGATCTGAGAAGTACCCTCTTGCTTCTTGCATTTTTAGAGTACCCAAAGCTCCAGGGTCCTTCAGTGAAAAAGCTTGAGTAAGCCACCATTTCAGCCTTTCCAACTGTTGGCACCAGTCTGGCAAAGTGTGCTGACTGCAGGTACCATTTCATCTGTGTTTTATAGAGGCATCTAATGGCAAACATCCTCCACGCTGGAACTCTTCAGGCTTTATTAGGAGGGAGACAATGCTTGAGAGTCCCAGGATCACACACTGGTCATCACAACACACCTGCCACTGTAGGGATCATGTAGTGACTTCACTGGGAGTTACTCAGAAGTACAGTGGCCTGTCATAGTGGGAGACTGACACAGAAGTAAGGATTTCAACAGCCGCGGAGGTCCCCTCAGATGCTGGCCATGGTACCCGGTATGTGTGTTGATCCCATGTGTTTTGAACACACTGGTCATTTATTCAAGTCCCTCTCCCGTCTGGCCCAGTGTTCGTTCAGTCCTGTTAACCCCTCACAAGTACTGACATCTCCTTGAGATGCTCTTCCCATACCTTCCAGGAAGCCACTTTGTCTCCTGAATGGGTCCCTACCTCTGGCTTCTCGTTTTTACTGCATCTATTCTTTTCCTAACCCTCTAGGTTTTGAAGAACCCCTAGGCTCAATCTCCCAGTCCCTATAACCACTAACTAGGTGATTTCATGCCTTGTCTGTGAACACTGTAAGTTACATAGCTTCGCTTTGAGCTCTAGCTACCAAGTCTAGTAACTGACTTGATATCTAAGATAGCATCATAAACTGATGGGCAGAACTGTTTTTAAAAAGACATGGCCTCAGGCTTGGAAGATGGCTCAGTGGTTAAGAACACTGACTGCTCTTCCAGAGGTCCTAAGTTCAATTCCCAGCAACCATAGGGTGGCTCATAACCATCTGTAATGCCATCTGATATCCTCTTCTGGTGTGTCTGAAGACAGCTACAGTGTACTTAGGTGACCCCTCCCCAAAGGGGTCACAACCCATAGGTTGGGAATGGCTGCTCTTCCCAGAGATGGGAGGCTGAGACAGAAGAATCTACCAGAAGAGAGCTTGTCTGTGTAGCAGCAAAGAACCCTTCTCAGACAAGATGGAAAGGCAGGGACCAACACCTCAAGTTTTCCACTGACCTCCACAGGCATGGTACAGCATGTATGAAATATATAAACCTTAGTTTACATCACATAATGCATCTGATCTTCATCATATATTCATTCAATCATGCACAGGTGGTAAGTAAGGATTTTTTTCCTAAGACTTCATTTGTAGGGCAGTAGTTTGCTTTATTGCATATGAACTCCAAACCAGTCCAGGCTGGTTGGGCCTACTGTTCCAGATCCCAAGGTACTTCAGGATGTGTTTGACTACAGAAAGGGAGTTACTAAGGATTGCTAGGGAGCTCCAGGTCAGAGTTACCAGTTACTTTATTTAGGGAGGGGTATGTAGCTTGATGTTGGCAAGGTCTCAGCTTGTTAAATACTGTATGTATAGCCAAGTGGAATCTTCCCTGGGCTTGCCTGCCTCAAAATGGCCTCACACCCGGGTACAGGTCAGATGCCTTCAGCTTGAAACTGACACTTTTCTCTCACACTCAATCCATCAGCAAAGTCAGTCAGACCTTCCAATAACATACCCTCACCATTTCCTCTGCTTCCAACATGGCCCAAGTCACTGTCATCTCTCCAGCCAATCTCAGTCCCACCATCTTCAAACAGCCAGAGTGACAGTTTTAAACATGCGAACCATGCCACGTGATGGTCTGCTAATGAACTCGTGTCCCCCAGGAAAACCTACATTCTTACCCTGGTTATGTGATCTGGGCCCAGCTACAATGCCTCCCCATTTCTTGCCACTGTCTGCCTGCTTTGCAGTTGGTCCAGACCAGCCTGCCAGCTGCTCCTCAGATTCTATGAAACATTCCAATTCAAGTCCCTTCCCCTTGCTGTAGCCTCTACCTGGTAGGAATATTCCTGGGTACCCACCCGCCTGGCTTGCTCCTCTGTAGCACATGACCTCTTGGTGAGATAGTCCTAGCATCTTCTGCCATTCCCACAACCACCCCTGCTTCTTCTTTACAGTAGTCCATCATCCTATGACATATATTTACTTGCTGTTTCTAGGCCTTTGACCTTGCAGTCGCTGTGAGGCAGGGACTTCTCATTCAGTGCTGAAACAGCACCTGAGCCTTTGCTTTGAACATGGTGGGTGCTTGGTCTTTTTCTTTTCTTTTTCTTCTTTTTTTTTAATGGATAAATGCGATCTCTATAAGAGTGGGTAGAGTGCCTGCCTCCCTTGTGTACTCTAAATTTGAACCCCAGACGCACATAAACTGGCTGCGGTGATGTATGCCTGTAATCCTAGCACTTGGGGTATGGAAATAGGAAAATCAGGAGTTCAAGGTGATTTGAATTACATAGCAAGAGCTAGTCTATCTTGGGCAAAAAGACAAAATGAATGAATAACAACAACAAAACAAATGAACCCCCTTATGTCACTGTGCCTTCCTTTAGGGGGCAAGGTGTACTGGTGGCTTAGATTCCCCAAGTCTGCAGAAGGAATCTGGGAACAGGGAGATATCACAAAACTCTGAAGTGACATCTTCAGAGATGGCTTAGCACTGAGTCTTGCCTAGAATTCGTGAGGCCCCAGGTACCATCCCTAGCCTTGCCCTAAACCCCAAACGTGCACATACATACATACATACATACATACATACATACATACATACGTACATACATACGTATGTAGTTGTCATGTGTGTATCATATATCAGGGTGTGTGTGTGTGTGTGCATGCTTATCATGTGAACCTATAAGAGAGACCTGCCTCTGGGGAGCATTAGACCATTTGTTCTTCAGTATAAAGGCTCACTTGCCCTTCAAGATGGAGAACACACCTACTAGGTTTAAAATATTTTATTTTAGGAAAGTATTAGATTCATTTTTAATTTATTTTCTATATTAACACATCAATCATCACCAATGTAGGTATAACCAGTGATTCTTCTAGATCTGTATAAAAAGGATGTTTTCTTGAAAAAAAAAAACTACAAGAAAAATACAACCGCTTTCTCTTTGCCCTGGTCAGTCACCATAGTTAGATTGCCCAGTTAGATTTTAATTTGGCAGCATGAGGTACTTTAAAAAGTATTTATAAATATAGTTAAAAGGATTTGCTTAGGCCATCGGTGTTACAATGTTAAATTTGTTTGACTTAAAGTTTGTACCAAATGTAGACGACTTCTAAGCTGCTTATGAGGCTTTAGAAGTAATAAAATAAAAACATGAACATTTGAAGGCAGTTCCCATGTAGGGCGTGAAGCAGATGCTCCACACACTCTTAATTCTCCCAGAATTCCTGTGAGGTAGGGTGCTTCTAGAAATGCCACCATACTGGTAAAAACAAGCAAGGCTGGAGATGCTTGGGGGGACAGGCGGGGATCCGGGGTCACAGCTAGAAGGCTGATACCTGGTCCATCTCTGCTCTGCTGGTGTCTAGTGTGTGAACTACAGCCCTTGGGACCATGATCCACTTACTTTCACATGAATACATGTATGTGCACAGAGAATGCACGGATAAACCCGATGACTGTAATAGAACATTTGTCTCTTCCAGAAGTCTCTGTGACAGCCATGTCAGTGTTGCCAGAAGCCTTGTACCCATCCCCATCCAGGCTGGTGAGCCTGTATTCTTGTTTTCTCTGTATTATTAACCTACGTTCTGTGTAGAAGTGAGTACTCCTAACAGACACTGGTTTCTGCATACTGACACTGCTCTCTGTATACTGCATGGCTTGAATTATTCAGTAGTCCTAGATTTATATGGGGAAAAAAATACCTTGACACAGTATAAAATTTTCATCTATAAAAGGTATAAAATTCCAAATGAGCTATTTTTTAAAATGCTTCTGTACCTTGAGGCTCTCGATAAAGAACAATAGGCTGTCCATTTCCTTCTCCCTGTGCTTTCTGAGCCACTTAGCAATGCTCATTCGTATTGAGTCGATGGGAAACCCATCTGTTCCCAGGGGCACAGCTGTCCCCATTTCTGGGCCATGGCTGACCTCGGACTACCAACGGGCTGTCACCGAGAGCTGAGGGGAGAGCCCAGCAGTATTCTGTCACAGAAATGTCACCACCATGGTGCCATGGCCACTCCTGGGTAGCTTTTAAGCTGCTTTTGAGGCTCAAGAGCATCCATCATGGAAAATTAGAAAGTGATGTTTTGATGTTTAGTTATAAGTAATTTTTTAAGCTGGGTGGTGGTGGTACACACCGTTAATCCCAGCACTTGGGAGGCAGAGGCAGGCAGATTTCTGTGAGTTTGAGGCTAGCCAGGTCTATAGAGTGAGTTCCAGAACAGCTGGGACTACACAGAGAAATGTCATCTCAAAAAAAAAAAATAATAATTTAAGTCTTAGTCATGGCTACTAGCTCTCAAAATAAAAATTTAACAGTCAGCTTTCTAAAGCTTGTCTGAGTTAGCCTGGTGCAACACTGAACTAGGGTTTCAAAGCAAGATTCAACATTTCCTTTGTTGTCTTAGGACACAAATCAACTGATTTCTGCAGGATGGATATGAGGGGCTTGGGACTATGGGTAAATGAAGAACACATAAATCTTTTTTTAACATGCCAGAGGGTTTTGATTGATTTAAAATATATCTACACCTAGCAATGATTAACGACTTATGATTTTAGCATGTTTTTCAAACCTCAACTAAAAGTGATCTCAAACCCAGAGTTTAGCCCATGCGCAGGGTGGTGTGTGGGAGGTGTGAGGACTGTCTTTCATCCTCCCTTCTGGTTGTCAAGGACAACAAGTCAAAGCCAGAGAGGAAGATAACTAAAGTATCAGGCAGGTGCTGGATTTGTCCAGGGAAGACTCAGGGAAGGAAGACACAAACAAGGCAGCAAGAGAAGCCTCCTGTGTGACCCTGGCTTCCTGTGTCAGTCTGGTCACCCTGTTGCTCAGGAACTGAGCTCTTCACCTCTGGTAGCACTCAGAGTTCTCCACACCAAGGGCTTTGTCTTGGGTAAGAACTAGGAAAGAAAACATAAACAGCACGGGTAGCAAATGTGGGCGGCCTCAGCTTCCTCCTAAACAACTCATGAAAACAAGCAAGCTTTCTGTTTCTCTGCTGTTCTGGCGCTCACTGGGGCACATGCGCACCCACAGTCTCACAGGTACACTTGTGTGCCCATGCACACATGTGTTTGTGCATTACACACACACACACACACACACACACACACACACACACACACACACGGCACTGTGGGAAGTCAGATCAAGATCAAGTTCTGGTGACGTGCTAATAGAGAGTTAGTTGAGACTAATGTCTAGGGCTGGGGAAAAAAACCTGTTTGTCTCCCATAAGAAAGGAACATGGGAACTGTTAGTCATTTGATATTCACAATCATCATAATCTCTTCCTCCTCTTCTTCTTCATCTTCTTCAAGGGCACAGTCTTTATTGGGGTATTTATTATGTGTGTGTACTGGGGGAGCATGCATGCCACAGTCAGTATTCTTGTGAAAGTCAGAGGACAGCTTACAGGAGTTAAGTTCTCTCCTTCCACCATGTGAGTCACAGGGAGTGAACTCAGTCTTGGTGGTATCTGTATCACCCTTACATGCTGAGCCCTCTTGACTGTATGTTAAGTGACGCTCTCCATAGAGGGACTGGTTAGACGGAAGCTCCCACCTGCCATCTCAGAGGCTATTCTGGGAGGCCACTCAGCCTCTCTCTTGCTGGACCTCTGTAGTCAATTTTTGTTTCTTGTTGTGTTGTGTTTTTTGTTGAGATGGAGTCTCACTGTGAACCCCATCTGACCTAGAACTCACTCAGTGGACCAGGCTTGCCTGGAACTCAGAGATCCACCTGCCTTTGTCTCCCTAGTACTAGGATCAAAGGCGTGCACCACCACTTCCGGCTATGCACTTAGTATTTAAAGTGAACTTCGCTACAGAGAGAGAGGGGGCTGTGGGCAGTTCTTCAATCTTTCAGGGTTATTCTGTTTATGCAGAGAGAGCTTAGCGTGGGTACCTTCTGCTAAGAACGGCCTGATGCATGGCTGTTGTCACTAGGCAAAGGACTTGCATAGTTACAAAAATAGCCTTGGTACTACCCTGGCCTGGGGTCTCCAGGATGGAGACTATCCTTAGGAGTGTCTCTGTCCTGAAGGAATTCTTCCCTGCTATTTGCCCCACCACCACCACCACCCGCAAGAAATCCTTTTCGAAGAAGCGATTTGGACAAGAATCAAAACCCCAAACTGTAAGAAAGGGGCTAGTTAGGTCACTGGGCCACACTCTAGCCAGGGAGCAGGCTCTGCCCTCTCACATGCTCAGATTTTGGCACTAGGATTCACTGTAAAGGGATTACAGGAAGACAGGTTCACTGTCTGTGCCCCTCTGCTAATGGCGAAGCCGTGAGTCAGCCTATTCACTCTCTATTGCCTTCAGACTCCAGTGGACAATCACAGGGAAATCAGGAAAAGGGGAAAGGGAAGCCGTAGGAAAATAAACACTTCCTTGCATTTCATTTGGAGCAGAACAGTGCTTCCGATGGTTAGAATCACATTCTTTCTCCTCCCTGCTCTGTTTCCCCCTTCTGTGTAGAAACAAATTTTTTCTTCTTACCTGATGAGAGTTCAGGGTGTATCCTGTGGAAAAACAGGAGCAAGATGTAGAAGATAAAAGCCAGGCAGCCAAAGATCACACCACAGACCAGGAAACTGTAACTGCCCTGGGCCTGAAATATCTGCCAGAGAGGAACACATCAGCCATTAAAATCCCACCTGACAGTGCATGGGAAAAATGGCTGCCTTGGGCCCTTGTCGTCTTCTCAGTGAAGTTGAAGGCAACCTACCAGACACAGGAATGTGGGGGGAGATCTCCCCAAAGTTACAAATCTAGTGAAGATATAAATCTTGCTGTAAAGCCAGGGTTGGACTTGTCTATATTTCATATACTCTTTTCAGCCCCGTGTTCTAAAACTTCTTGGAAGACACCATAATGATCATTGACATTTCAAACATGAGATGTGTCTATACCTGTAAGCCTAACTGGAACTCTGGAGAAGGTGTGTGTGTGTGTGTGTGTGTGTGTGTGTGTGTGTGTGTGTGTATGTATATGTGAGTGCATGTGTGAGTGTGTGTATGAGAGTGTGTATAGTGTATGTGTGTGTATGTCATGTGTATCATCTTTTAACTTTTTATTATGAAATTTAGAATATGTCAAAGTAGCAAATAGAACTTTTTATAGGCCACTCAACTTAAGAAATCTCACCAAGTCAAGTATGGTGGCTCATACACCTTTCATTGGCAGATCTCTGAGTGAGTTACAGGACAGCCAGGGTGCTGCACAGAGAAACCCTGTCTTTAAAAAAATAAGAGAAAAAAAAAAAAAAAAAAAGGAAGGAAGGGGGGGAGGGGGGGGAGGGAGAGAGAGGAGAGAGAGAGGGAGAATGAGAGCCCAATGCAGAGGACATCAGAATGTAACCCTCCTCTCCATCAGCCTGGAAGGGAGAGAAAGGAGGCTCCAGTGGATATGAGGCCTTGGGGCGGGGGTGGACTATGTAAAACAGCCTCTGCTTCACTGTTGGCTATTACTGAGAGCCAGCTGACCTAGGGCAAACTGCTAAGTTTATTTATGTCTCAGGATCCTGCACTGTGAAAAAACTGGCATCTGTGTTACAGTAGTCAAGCAAAGTAATGTTGGTTTTAATTTCTGATTTCCTGGGAAACACATGTAACACAGGCACATTGAAGGAAAGTAGGGAGTGGTCAGGGCAGGCACTGGACATGAATGGGGTCCTGGGTAGCACTGCTACAGACTGGTGGGAGACATGGACCTGGGTGGGATGGATTAGGAACATTGCCGGCAGCTGGGCACACCAACTAGGCTTTGAGAGCCAATGGCATTCCCATGGGGGCCCCCTGGCCCCAGGCCCAGACAGCCTTGTTTGCTTTGGATTCATGCATTTGGTCATTAAGGTCTCCACATTCCATATTCAGAGACCTGGCTTTTGAGTCTGGCTAGCTTGGAAAGGGAAACAGCTAGCCCCAGCCTGGTGGATTCCTGCAGGCTATGCGGAACTCAAGAAGTGACAGCTTGGACTTAAAGGTGCTAGCTGTATCTTCTCACCTACTTTGAGGAGTACTCCCCAACCACCCCCAGAGGATCCCACCTACCAAGCCAACCAGCATCTGCAGGACCATCTCTCCAATTCCTGCCCCGGTCACCAGTACCGTGGTCGCACAACCTAGCCAAATGAGAAGGGAAGGTTGAGTGAGAGCAAGCTGAGGATGTGGAAGAGAGCTATCAGAATACAGAGCACTCTGGGATGCCTCTGGAAGGTGTAATCCACCACCATGGTGTAGGGCATGTGAGACGTTGTTACCAGACAGGCATAAGATTGGCAAGGTCGAATGAGCTCCAATCCCGGGAATCTCAGAGCTGAGAACAACAGGAGTGGAGTCATTCCCTACCTGCCTCTACCTGCTCTGGAACGTGTAACCATGACACTCTACTGAGGACCATGGGCGCTGAGTCATGAAGCATAAACACCTGGAGTTCTCCATAGTAATGAGGTATCTAGATAAGCCCAGAGTGTTCAGCCAATGAGCTTCCTTTTCTGGGCATTCCTTCCCGAAAAAGGTATTTAATCCCTGGCTCACCCTGAATAAAGTGTATGCATTCACATCCACCATCAAATAAAACAGTATGAACAAGCAAGGATTCTTCACTAAAGATCTCTGAGGGGAAGGCCTTCATCTTAAAGAGCACTGCCTAAATTCCAGACGAAGGCCTTCTCTCTTCCAGCGCCTTCTTACTCTGAATCAGACCTGGTCCCCCAGTGCTGGGCTCTGCCTTCCCCTTTCTGCCCAGTGCTTGGACACCCTGAGGAGAAGCATGGAGCAGGGACCCCCATTCCTGACTCCCAGTGGTACGCCAGCAGCTCCTAGATACAGGAAACTGGGAACCACAGCATTTATCCCAGAATCCTGTTTCCCCTGCTGGTCTGTTGAAGGAAAGCACAGACTGTGGACTACCGATTTTGGACTTCTTCTGTCTTCTTCCGGCAGTGAACCAGTGGTGTTCCGGATAACCCAGTGAAGAAGCAGGGTGCGATATGACACTGTGGGTTCCTAAGACACCTTGGACTTTGACCTGTGACTACTTTGGGACTGTTTCTATTCTACTGTTCATATGTCTCTTGTTCTCAAACCTTCAATCATCCGTAGTTATATAGCCTGGCATTCAGAACTCTTCTCAGTCTGACCACAGCCTGCTTTTCCAGAAAGATCTCCTGAGATCCTCAGAGCTTAGCATCAGACATGAAATCTAAGGCCAGTTATAACGCCCTTTTCCCTTTGACATGTCTTGTGGCTTCTCTAGAGTGTTGACCCAGGACAGTACTTCAGGACAAGTCTAAGTGCTTTATATGCTTTGCAAGGTCATCTTTCACACTGCTGGCTCCTGAGCTACCTAAGGTTCGGCCAGGATAAACTGTGATCACAGTCTGTGTCATGGCCTGTCTCTGATTGGTCCATTACCTGCCTGCTGGAGATTCTCCTTCCACTGGTTTTTGTGTTGTGTCTGAGTTTAGATTTCCTTTGGAAGCATCTTCCACAGTCCCTACACCTCGGATGGCAGCTTCTCCTCTAGCCCCAACTGTTCCTGTTCCCCACACAATCTGAGCCTGCTAGCTGATGGCCTTCCTTCTCCACCAGACAATATTCCAGGAGGGTTACTGGCCCCCATAGTTCTCTGGTACATGCTTACACACCAGAGCTTATCAGTAGTACTGTGGCCAAGGTTAGCACATCTGCTGAGGGCTGTATTTCCTTCCAGATCTTTCTGTCTCCCTCAAGCCAATCCTGTCCTGCCTGCTTGCACCTTGTCCCTTGCTCTGGCACATCCTCACAGCTCTCCCTTTCCTATCCTTTCTCGTTCCAGAGCAGTTCATATCTGATCAGATTTCTAGATTGAACACTGCCCACTCCCATCTCTGAATTCCAACGGCTCCTGTCTGTTCTGTGCATTGTTTTGAAACATCCCGAGATCCTTCTGTACATCAGGAATAGTGCCATAAACTTAGAGGTAGGGAGGCCTGCGAGCTGCCAGGGATGCCAGTCAATCGAGGGCTTTACATTTTCTCCCACGCAGGGCATTCCTATGGGACCAGATTTGGTTTGGGGTTGTTTCTGTGGTTCTGGGGAGCAAAACCAGAGCCTTCCACATGCAAGACAAGTGCTCTACCATTGAGGTACAACCCAGCTCAACTGAAGTAGGCAGCTGCCGCCTCCTCTACCTCTTCTCCTCCTTCACCTTCCTTCTTCTTCCTCCTTGTCCTTTTTTGAGATCAGGTCTCACTATGTAGCCCTGGCTGACCTAGAATTCATGGAGATGTGCCTGCTTCTGCTCTCAAATGTTAGTATTACAGGTGTAAGCCACCATGTAACAAAAGAGAAAACCAAGGCTCTGGGGCTGGAGAGAAGGCTCACATGGTGGCTCCTAACCATCTGTGATGGGATCTGATGCCCTCTTCTGGGGTGTCTGGAGACAGCTACAGAGTACTCATTTAAATAAAGTAAATAAATCTTTTTTAAAAAGGTAAGAAAACTGAGCCTCAATGAGAAGAAATGTCACTTGAGGTCATAGACCTGCAAATATGGAGGTAGGACTAATGCGTTTATGATTACCTCAGAGCTTACACTCCCTTTGTCCCTTTCTGGGACTGTGTTGGAGAGAACATACCCTAGGTACAGAAGCTGTGAGATGGGTCATATAGCAGGGACAGGCCTGAGTCAGTGGAGCATGGAGATCAGAGATACTTCCTGGAAGGGCATGGGGTGGGAGTGGAGGGACAGTAGGAGGCAGTCCAGACCAGGTGTGGCTGTGGCCAAATCATGACTGCTCAAAGTAATTTCTGTGTCATCAAGGAATTCCAAGTAGTTAGTATGGCTAGACTGTAGCTCTGAGAGGCTCCCTAGTGAGCATGGAAGCCAGCTGTGCTTCAAAAGACCCTCTGCAACAGCATAGAGAGCGACCTTGTGATATCTCCATACTCAGATGCTGTCAGAACAGGCCGCTTCTCCACTCAGAAGAGCCTGTGCTCAGGGTGTAGAATGGAATCACAGGGGGTCATGATACTGAGCCAGTGGGTCAGATAAGACTGAAGGGAAATGAGACAAGTCCAGACCTACGAAAGCAGATGAGGGGACTGGGTATTGGACAGACCAGCACTATTAAATATGCCAAGCAAGTAAATTATGAGAAAGGCTGACTCTAAGTCCAGACCGTGGGAAGTGACAGGAAGATGGAGCTGAGTGGTCCTCCAGCAGAACTTGCCATATTGGAACACCAGCTCATCTCTCAAAACTGACATGAGGGGACTGAAGAGATGGCACAGTGGTTAAGAGCACTGGCTGCTCTTCCAGAGGACCTGAGTTCAATTCCCAGCAACCACATGGTAGTTCACAACCATCTGCAATGGGATCTGATGCCTTCTTCTGGTGTGTCTGAAGACAGCGACAGTGTGTCCATATACATAAAATAAATCTTTAAAAAAAAACTGACATGAGAAACCTGTTTCCTCACTTAATTGACTCTCCTGAGAGTCTAAGTACATTGACCCCCCCTCCCCCAGGAGTTGCTTCCCTGCTGCCAGGATGAGCTGGGAGAAAGGACGGTGTCTCCTGGGCATGTCCCCTCTTCTTCATGATGTTTTCAGTAGCACACAGGTGTATGCTGACACTGGCTGATGCTGTTTCTGCCCTCACTTCCATCATGGCCAGGGCTGCTCCTGAATCACAGGTCAAAAGAGCTTTCCCTGATTTCAGATGTATCTCAGGCAGGTGTTGAACCCACTTAGAGGATCCGGAAGTCAGAAACTCAAAGACACTTGATACTATGACTCATTTTACCACATGAATTGTTTTTCTTCTAAGTTACAGACCAGATACCATGACAGTCAACATACCAGTCCTAGACCTATAAACAGTACCATGCCATCATGAAGAAGAAAGAAGAAAATGGATAAGGAAGCCACAAGGCTTTCCTGAAGCCTGCAAGGGCGCATGCAGGACATACAAGCCATGGACAGGACATCCATGACCAAACATGGCTGTTCCCACCCATGCCAGGAAGTGTTTGATTCTCCTGGTAAAGAGAAAGCCCAGGCCTGAAATACTACAGCAAGCTGTGGTCAGGAGAGGAGCTGTCCACTAGTGGCAGGAAGTGTGTTCCTGTGTTTCCTCAGCCGCTTACCTTTATACTGGAGGATGTCCTCGGTGTAGGCCAGCATACTGGGGAAGGTGCTACTCAGAAACAGCCCCAGGCTTGCGGTCCCCACAAACAGGAAGATGACATTGTAGGAGAAGATAAGCAGCATCAGGAATGTCACCACCACTCCCACCTGTCACAGCAGAAGCAATTAGAGAGGGCACAAGGCTGGGGCATCTTGGAGAAAGGGAAAGAACCCTCAGGCAGGGGCATCCTCGCTGGCCCCAGGAGAACAGTGTGGCCCATGCGCCACCATGCGGTCTCCCTGATACCTGCAATGTTCCTAGTTTGGGATCTAGGAAGTCTAGGGAGTTGAGCCTGCCTGCATGTAAGAGCAGCTGTACCCTCCCACCCCCAACACCCAGTAAATACTGGGGAATGAGTACTCAGGGTTCCCAATTTCTTCTCTGAATCCAGGTAATCAACATTTCCCCTCCTGGTGGTGGAGGTGGGCAGTCTAACGCCCCACTCTTCCTCTGACACCGAGTTCTAGTGTGGAGTGAGAAAGCCATGAGCCAGCAGGATGACGGGTGGTGGACCTGGGTTTCCTACTCCCTGGAAATTCAACACAAGCACCCAGGAGGATCAGTGGCTATGGCAACCGCTTGGAGCCCCTGAGATTTGACTTAAATCCCACTGGAAAAAAAAATCCCAGGAGAACGGTGTGGTCTGTGCACCAGAGCTAATAACTGGGTAGCTAAGATCATCTGCTCAGATCTCAGTGGCTCAGCAAGGTCCCTACCCCACAGGCAGATTTTTTTTTTGATAAAACAACCCAGTTTCTAAGCTCTTTTAAAAAATAGTTTTATGTAAGCGTTGAATGATTTCTACACAAGCCACAGCTGGGAAGAACCCAGAGCTGCACCAGTCTTGGAGTTCGAAGCGCCTGGTTCGGGTCCTTGCCGTGTGCTCCCAGCTGTGGGGCCCTGAAGTAGCTGTCTCCATGAACCCTACATTCTTGTCTTTACACCAGTAGTTACTGTGAGGTCTCAAACCAGGGACAAATGGTTTGGTGCCTATTTAACATATCAAATCGGACCTGACTACAGGATTCTCCCAGCATCCCTCAGTCCCTGCCTGCCACAGAGTATGGCTGGCATACCCTACCCTCTACCCTAAACTTCTCCAGCTCAGGGGCTGGGGTGCCCCTCCCTCCAGCTGCCCTTCGCTATATAATCCAGACATTTTAGTTACATGGTCTCTTTTTGGTCTATCCTTTATTCTCCTGGCCTCTTGGACTGGCTCTCCCCACTTCTCTCCCCCATCTCCTCACATGGTTCAGGGTCCTGTTCACTCTGGACTCTCCCAGATGTCCCTGCCTCTGGCTATGTTCTTCCTTTTATCTACAATAAACCTTTCCTATACCATAACTAAGAGTAGTCCGGCTGCCTTCCCTCCTTCCTTCCTTCCTTCCTTCCTTCCTTCCTTCCTTCCTTCCTTCCTTCCTTCCTTTATTTTTTCATTCATTTAGCAAGGAGATGCCAAGGCTGGCAGTTAAATGATATCGGAGACTTCAAACTGTTGAGCTTCCTCCAACAAATGTTCTATTACTCTTGCATTTCCATGTGGTTTTCCCCAAAGCCTGGGAGACAAACCCAAGGCTCGGTGCATGTGTGGTGAGTTCTCCACTGAGCTACAGCCACTGCTCTGTGTTCTAGAAACCTCATGTTCTATGCCAAGTTCTAGCTTGGTAGGGAATGTGTTCCTGGGTTTGGGTTGTGCATGTAGGTCAGAGTAAGAACACTTATCCTGGGTGTCCAAGTCTCTGGGTTTGATTCCCAGAGCTACAAAACAGATAATATTCCAGGTAAATATCTGCATATCTGTTTCTAGGAAGATAAGTACACAGACCTAAAAATCACAGCTAGTCCAGAACCCATAAGGACTGGGCAGGCTGAAAGGAAGGGACCTTCAGAGAGTCACAGCAGACCTTGGGGAGCAAACCTTCACCATTGCTCACACTGGAAGAGGGCGGCCAGTGACCCTAGCACAAGAACCCCATTAGCTCTGCCTCAAGATCTCTCAGAAGGGACAGATTCTAGAATCACCCCCACACTCACCCTTCCTGGCCTAGTAAATAAAGGTCACCAAGAAACAGTGGCTGAAGATGAACACACCCCTTCTCCATGGAGAGGCAACTTGAAGGACTTCTTTCATGTGGTAAAAATATAATGCAGAAGGCTATGATCTTCTGTGCACACCTGTGATCCTGGGGCTTTGGTGTCGGAGGCACGTATATGAATAGAAGAAGCCTGAGCTATAAAGTCAGATCTTACCTCAAAACCAGAAAAGCAGGGGCTGGAGAGATAACCTCACAGTTAAAGAGCACTGGCTGCTCTTTCAGAGGACATGGGTTTGCATCCCAGTACCTACATGATGGCTCACAGTCATCTCTAACTCCAGCATCAGGAGGTTCGATGCCCTCTTCTGACTTCTGTGAGGACCAGGCATGCAAGGGGCGCACAGACAAACCTGCAGGCAAAGCACCCATTCACAACACCCTGGAACCCACATAAATTAAGTGGAAAGAGAAAGCCAAACCTTCACCATTGTTCACACATATACCATGTGCACCCCCTGATGTCACACACAACAATAATGATAATGATGATGATGATGATGATGATAATAATAATAATAATAATAATAGAACAGAAGTCACAGATATATCTATGGTTCCAAATCCAATATATGTATTTGGCAAAGATGACCCCACAGCTCTCTTTATTCTTTCTTCCTCTTTGTCCAGTTCCCAAGCATGGCCAGGATTCTATCCTGGGGTCTCTGTCTACATCCCATTCGCTACAGTCACAAGATTCAAATGTCTCCATGCTAGGGATGCTTATTGTTCTTAAAACTGCAATGTTGGTCCAGAACTCTAGACAGGCATATAAAGCTGTTCTACAGATGCAGTGTCCCTTGGACTACTGACAGTGTGATCTGAACTTAGAGTTTTCTCTACCTGTCTTTTTCTGCCCAGCAACTAACTGTACATCCCATTCCCCGCTTCTCTGCTGTCCACCAGTTGTGTTCAGAACTTGGCTCCAGGGCCTGGTCTATATAGCTCAGTGGTATAGCACGTCCTTAGCAGCACCAAACTCCACCCTGACTCTGAAGACGCAGCTTCACCTGTAACTCGGGAACAACGCAGGTATTGTTGCTAGAGTCTGCTGGACATTGATGCCGCTTAAAAAGAGATGGTGAAAACCACCCTGACCCAAGGAGCTCAGAACTCAGAAGCCATGAAAGCCTTTGACTAGCACCAAATGCCCCCTTGTGTGAGTGCACATGAGTAAATGAAATACTCAGCTCTGAGAGGGAAAATGTTTCTCTGTCGTCATGTGGATTTCTGAAGACCTGCAGATAAAGGCTTGGTCTTTAGGGTGTTGTCATAGCTGCTTTAAACTAGGTGGGAGGACCCTGTGGGGAATTCTTAGGTCACTGGAGGTGTGTTGTTGAAGGGACTGTGCTGCTTCCTCTCTGCCCTTTTTCCTGGCTTATGACATTAATGACACCCCCAGCCCTACTCCAGTCTTTGCTATCCAGCATTCCATAACTAGATCTTAGACTAGAACACCCCAAAGTGAGAGCTGGAGTAACCCCTTTCTCTTTATAATTTCCTTAAGCATGTCACTGTACTGATGGATATGGTCCTTGAATCCTAGTCCCTTCTTCCTCCACTCAGAAAGGTCCTGTCCACACTACCCATGAAACATCAGGGAGTCTTTCTGCTTAGCCTCACCCTCATCCAAACCCCTCCCCCTCTCAACTATTCTGCAAAGTCTCCCTAACTAAAACCAGAAACATTTTATTTACTTATTTACTATTTATTTATTTAGAGACAAATTCTCTCTGTCTAGCCCAGGCTGACCTTGAACTTAGTCCTCCTGTCTCTTCCCCCAAGTGCTGGATTGTAGGGGCCCACTGCCATTATACCTAGCTGAGAAATCTCCCTCTCTTTTTCTCTCTTTCCCTCCCTCCTTCCCTTCCTTCCTCCCTCCCTCCCTTCTCCCCTCCCTCCCTCCCTTCCTTCCTTTCCTGTGAATGGGTGTTTTGCCTGCACATACAGGCACCACATGCACAAAGTACCTGAGGAGTATAGAAGAGGGTGTCAGGTGCCCTAGAATTGGATTTACAGACAGTTGTGAGCCACCATATGGGTGCTAGCAATCGAACCCAGGTCCTCTGGAAGTGCAGCCAATGATCCTAACCATTGGGCCATTTCTTCAGCCTGAGAAGTGCTTTCTTACTGTGGATTTCCTAGAAAAGTAGTGAGTTCTCAATCCCTGAAGGTAAATACACTGATGGATATGTCACAGAAGTGATCCAAGCCTTGGTGGGAGGTCAAACTAGATGTACCCAAGGGATTCTGTAATCTGGAGTCCTTTGTCACAATTACATGAACAAACATCAGGACACAGATCTTAGTCCATGCTTGATCCAGAGCCTGTTCCCAGCCAAGCCCGTTCCTTTGCCTGGCTACAGGCTAGTCTGGCTGTCTAAGAATCTCCTGGAGAGCTGCCAAAGATAAATCTCCCGACAGGCCAGGTGCAATGACTCCAGTACCTTGCTCTATTGGCCAGAAGGCTCCAAACAGCTGTGTGGTTTGAGAAACACGGGAGGACCAAGGCTGAGACCTCCATCCTTCCTAATCCTGGCAGATGTCAGCTGGGGTCTGCTTTTCACTCCATATTAACCACTCATGGCCAAGCTTTGAAAGATGTAAAATTAAAGGCCCAGCCAGGGAAGGGACCTTTCCAAGGCTACGTGAGTAGGCTCCTCTTCCTTATCTCCATCTTTCCTTGTCATTTCTGCTTCCTTACTTTTCTGGCAGAATACGGTCCTGAACAAATGTCTTGGGCAGTGGTAAGGCCCAAATAGATAGATTCTGTGTTTCTAAGAAGGGAAAGGAGGCACTTGTCCACTTACCACATTGATGAACACCATGGTGGCTGGCCTCATTCTTGAGGAGACTGGGATGGAGATGAACCGGCCCAGAGTGATGAAACCCCAGAAGAGGCTAGGGAGGTAACCAGCTGATTTGTGTCCAATAGAGAGCGGCTTCTCCACGGCATAGCTGTACACAAAGGCCGAATAAGCCCCCTGTGGAGAATGGAGAGAGCAAGCCTCACTCAGAACACGGATGCCTCAGCTGGGGCGGAATTGGGGAGCCTGTCACCAGTGATGCCCCAGGAGCTAGGATCATATGGTAACTCACTCCCAAGCTGAGGACAGGATGGGTACCACAGCTGCACCTGGGATGTCACTGGTCCCCATGCGGATCCCCACAGGGCCTGAGCAGACAGGCATGGCTAGAAGGAAAGGGGCTTAACCTCTTATTCCACAGATGAAGGAAAGAGAGGAGACAGGTCCATATTCCCTCTTGAGGGGAGTGAGTGAGCCAGGTCTGCTGTGAGTGGGGGCATGTGAACAGGGCCTTCTCTCAGGAGTGTCCCTCTTTCAGTGGCCAGTCACTCAGCCATGCAACACTGCACTAAGTCAGAAGACTTTGGGAAAGGATGCTAAATAGAGTAACAGAGGTCACCCATTGAATGGACACCTGGCCTGGAGTGTGGCTTGTTTATGACGTTGGCTTGAGAAGCCCCATTTGTACCACCTGCTCAGAAACCGAGTGCCCCAGAGTTCATATAGTGTGGCCTCTCTCAGGGCAACAGGGCTGTGAGCTTTCAAAAATGTGGATCACAGCTTGGTAGGGTGAATTTGGGAGAAGGATGAAGAATTCAAAGCCAGCCTAGGCTACTTTCCATTCAGATCCAAACAAAGCAAAGTAACTAAAGCGGAAGAGGCTTGGGTCATGAAGAATTGGGAACAAGACACCAGACAGACCCCTTTCTAGAATTAACAAAGTAAGATCAATGGCAAGGACAGAGGAGTCCCATGTCTAGGGCTGTGAGCCACGTGGGGGATGGGCAGGACACTGGTTCATTGCACTGCAGTGTGAAGTCCTGCGGACCTCCGTGTGCTTCTCTATCCTTGCCATTCCAGGCTTGGGTATCAGGGTAGAGGCCTCTCAGTAGAGCATGCCCTTGGAAGAAAGCTCACCATCATCCCGTCTGTCATGAACAGGACCAAAGCGGCCGTGATGTGGATCGCGAAGAAAGAGCACGGGGCTCCCCGGAAGTTCTTCCTCTGGCAGCAGCTGAACAGGTCCTCTTGCCCTGAAGGAGGCACAGAAGGGCAGGGCCGAATCAACCTCTGCTCCCTGCCCTCTGCTCACCCAGTCAGGACAGCCCCGGCAGGGACTGCTTGCTGCCTTCACCTTCTCTAGCTTCCAGGCACCTGTGAGGAGTAGCCACTGTTCTTTGCCCACTCCTGGTGGAACTAAGGACCACAGAGATCAAGTGAGCCCCCCTCCCCTTTAAAGGTAATCCAGGAAGAGTGGGTAGGATGGAGGCTCTCTGCTCTTTTCATTCTTTTGGCCGGCTGGCTCCATCACTTATCTCAGAGACTGCCAGGACCAAAGATTGTTTCTGACCACTAGCCCTGGGGTCTAGGTTCATCTTCTGGGTGTGGGGTCACTAGGGCAGCCAGAATAGATTACAAGAGCACGCACCTGAGTGTGGCTGAAACTTGGGGGCAAGGGAGGAGGTGTCTTCCTTTTCAGCAGGCCGGGTCTCCAGGGCAAGCTCGTCTGCAGACAGGAGCAGTGGCTTCCTCTGGGCACAGGTCAGCAGCCGCTCCTTGGACAGCAGGAACAGAACAGCCAGGGGCACTGGGAGCTGAGGGCAGTAGAGGGTCAGGAGGGCCTGGCCTGCTAGATTTGGTCCATGCTGCAGGCTCGCAGTCCAAGGTGCCCACCTCACCGAAGAGCATTTGCCAGTCCATGAGCCAGGCATGTGGCTACCACATAGGCTTGGTGTGAGCACTTCTGGCCCTGGCCACACCCATTCCCCACAGGCAATAGAGAAGTCTTTCAAAGCCTGCACTCGCAAGGGTCTTCTGTTGCTTGGGCCAGGTGCTGGGTGACTGACTGGCTGCTAACATTCTTATTTCCAACACTGTGGTAACAGTGTCTCCTGTTTTTGTCTGTCATAGCTCTATAAAATGTGATTGGGGGTGGGAGTCTGGAAAGGTGGCTCAGCAGTTAAGAACACTTGTTACTCATGCAGAGGACCTAGATTTAGTTCCCAGTACCCACATGGTGCTTCACAACTGTCTGTAATTCTAGTTCTGGGGGATCCAATACCTTTTTCTGGCCTACATGGTCACCACACATATACAAGGTACACTTACATGCAAACAAAATACTCATATACTTCATATAATTTTTGAGAATGCAATCAGGAGGCAGAGGATGTGGCTCAGTGGATATTGCCTACCAAGTACAAGGCCCCAGGTTATGCCTCTAATACTACCAAGGGGTGGAAAAAGGTACTGAAAAGATTTCAATTGTATTTTCCAGATAGGGCAAATGGGGCTCCAAGTTATTATACAGAAACACACTGTTAGAACTGGAAGAGACCTGGAAGGTGAACGGGACACTCAGAGAGTGCAGGGTCCCCACCACACAGCTAGCACTGACATCCATTTGGGCCTGCATGGTCCTACCCCTGAGCTGCTGAAATAATGGAATATCCTTGGAGGGTACTGAGCTCTGTCAGGGGCTCGATGACTCAGCTATAAAACACGGACTAGCGCCTGTTCCTCCTCCCTCTGCCCAGCTCTCTGCTCTTTACACTGAGCCACTCAGTCCCAACAGTGCTCCCTAGACCAATAGGAGACTCCTCCCACTTTGGAGGTTGCCTGGAGAAGCAGCCACTGCATCCCTCAGGTATCCCTGCCCAGGTCTAACCACCTTCACTGCCAGGAAGCTCTTTATCAGGTCTAACTGCTGTCCTTCCTGCTTGGGCTGTAACCTGCCTCCTTTGCTTAGAAAGGAACAGAAGACCAGTGAGCAACTAGAAATTTCCGGAAGTGCTCAAGTGTAGCCATAAACGGGCCAGGCAGGGATGGAAGCCAAGCAGACACCTGACCTGGCAGTGCACTGCTCCTTAGGGAGCCCCTTAAAACCCTTAAGAAAGTGCTCACACCAGCCTGAAGGCAAAAAGCCACCCAACCCCAGGCTGACACCTCCCTATGGTGCTCACCAGAGGGTCCCTTTCCACACTCAAAGCCAGTCAAGGCCACAGTTAGGTCCGGTGCCACATATCCGAAGTCTCAGCTAAGACAAGAGCCTGGGGAACATAGTGTGGCCCTATCTCACAGTTTACAACCACTGAGCGAAGTTCAGACAGCCCTTGGTAGCTGTAATGCCACACATGGAGCCCTGTATGGGAATAGACCTGTGTCTCTGTCCTGGGGGAGACTTATGGGGAAGACTCAGCCCTTCCTCCAGCAACTGGGGGAACAGGAAGCACACAGAGAGGCTTCAGCGACAGAAAGCCTGAGGGAAGGCCAAGGGGAAGCAGCTGAACTGGAGGTCTGGAACTTAAGAGGCCTTTCCAGGGAGGTGGGTAAAGGGAGAGGCTTCACAGCAGATTGTCTGGCATGCTGGCAGGAACACCCATCTTTTATAGGAATCTCATTCAGGGACACCAGTGCCACCCTGAAAACAAGCCAATGCCAGGTAGGTGTGTCTGTGTGTGAGCATAAGGAAGTGAGTGTACTCACTGCTGTATTCCTTCGGTGGTGGGCTACATACGTTCAGACACAAACAAATAGGGCAAGCCCCAGGAATCTTGTAGCAAGCAGCCCTTCCAGTCTGTACCTTGGTGGGGAGAACAGACCCTGGGCCTGTGCAGATCCCCAGCATTGAGGCTCTCCAGCTGGGATCCTTCCCTTAGCAAGGACCCCTTAAAGGACACAGGTTCAAAGCTGCCTTGATCCAAAACGGTGGACACAACCATGCAAAGGAGGAAAAGGAAAGTGAAATCTTGCTAAGGGCCTCACTGTCTTCCCAATCCAGGGAAAGGAAGGCTATTTAGGAATAGGCTGTGGGGCTGGAGGCAGTGGGCCTCTGTTGAGGCTTGGCCTCTCTCTAGCTTCCTATCAGGACTTCATGGAGGTGTGACACCCCTCAGCATGCCCAGTACAACTGTGGAGGGGGCTTAGGACTCTTTCAGTACTATATGTATTCCTTTGAGGCACCTCAGTAGCCAACTGTCTCTAGAGGACCAAGAAGGCCTACTGCAGAGAGGCCCTGGACCAAAGTAACAAGCTCCACGCAGACCCTCTGTCCCACAGCCAGGCGATTGGCCACCTGAAATAGCATCACTTCCAGCCTCCTGATGGGTCAGAGCCAGGAGAAGGCAATTAAGATGGTCTGAGCTGTTACTCCCAAGCCTGGTGGGTAGGGAGTGCCCAGACTCCCCTCTGCTTCACCTAGGTTAACATGGGCTTCTCTTAAGTTACAGAGCCCTAGAGGTTTCTAGGTAGAAGCTAGAGTCAATGCTTGAGTTGGACAGGTACACAAAGGGGGTCTGAGGACCTAAGCTGGTCAGAGCCAGTGGTCTCGGTGCTGTTTAGCTTCTTGTTAACTTGGAACAAGCTGGTGTCACCACCTGGAAACAGGGAACCTAAGCTGAGACAATGCCCCCATAAGATTGGCCTGAAGGCATGTGTGGGGGTATTTTCTTGACTGATGGTTGATGTGGTTAGTGTCACCCACAGGTAGTGGGTGTAGAACAGGTAGTCTGGGGCTGTATAAGAAGGCAAGCTGGATAAGCCACTGGGAGCAAGGCAGTCAGCAGTGTTCCTCCCTGGCTTCTGCTTCAGCTCCTGCCCTGGCTTTCCTCAGTGATGGATTCTAAAGTGTAAGCAGGAATAAACCTTTCCCCCCCCCAAGTTGTTTTTGGTGAGTGTTTTATCATAGTTACAGATCCAAACTAGGACAGTTTCTCTGCCATTTCTACCACAGCCGACAGGAAGCAGAAACCCGAGGAGCAGGGTTCTCTCCTGAGCCCACTCATCCCCCATCAGCGATGAAGGATTCTAGAGAAGAAGCTGCTATCGTCCTTGGCCATGGAGGAAAAGGTCTGTTTTTCCACAAGGCCTCAGAGAACTTGGAGGCTGACCCTGATTTTCACTGTGTAAATATGGCCATTGCCTTTGTTTCTTGAGAACTGCCAACACAGTGTCACAGTGATGGACTTTTGAGATGATTCCTACAGGCCATTTCTCCCTCCTGCCTGCACACAGTGGACCCTGGCATGTTCCTTGGGTCTGAAGATTCTGCACTATTGAGATGGATTGGGCAGCATGCACTACCCCTCCCCTCCAGCTCCCCCAAGCTGCCAGCCCCACCTGCACCAGTGACACTCACATTGATGAGTGCCATGATCCAGAAGGCATAGGATACGTGGTTCTCGGTCACATCCTTTGGGGGCAGCCTGGGGATTGTCTGGTTTATCCAAGGCTGGGCTGCTGAATGATGTTGGCTCAGGACCCGGGACACATGGCTTCTGGAGGTGGCATTGGCTGTGTTATTCGCAGGAAAGCAGTTGGCCTCTGACAGGAAGGGGTCAGCGATCAGGGGGCTCAGCAGAGCACCAAGACCCACGAAGAAATGAAGGACCTGGGGTGGGGGGATGAGCACCACTCAGCCTGGCTCAGGACTTGCATCCAGAGGGTACCATCTCCCCTCACCTTTACCTTATGACCTATCCAGGGGTCCCCTGCCTGGGCCTAGGGTTAGAAGGAAGACTCGGGAAGCAGGAGAGAGAAAGAAGAATATCAAGGAAAGCCCTCTTTCACCGTCTTTGATGGCTGGAATGATGATAACTGGAGTGATTGTGGCCCTCCCTCCCCCCACCTTATTGCCCCAACCTTAATTTCCACTGGTGCTGTCTCCTGTCATGGTGGTCAATTTTGTCATCTTGATAAGATTAAGAAACATCTAGGACACTAAGAAAGTACTCCTCTGGGTGTGTCTGTGAGAGTATTTCAACAGAAGCTTAACTAATGAGGGAAGACCCAGCTTGAGTATGGGTGGTAGCATCCTGTCAGTTGAGGTCTGAGACTGAGTAAAAAGGCAGACCCTAGCATTCCCCTCTCTGCTTCCTGGTTGGTGCCCAGGACTGAGCCACACCTGACACCATTCCTTCTCCATCATTGTGGACTGTATTTCCCTGGACTTCAAGCCAAAATAAACTCTCCGCCATTAGCTTGCTTTGTGAGGTACCTGGTAACACACACTGCATGACTGGAAGGAAAGAGGAGAAAAGGCAAGAGATGGGAGAACAGACGGCAAGCCCGCCGCCCCACTGCCTTTCCTGGTTAGAGAAATTTTGCTAACACGGGGGTTCTTGGGAGAGGCGACAAGGCAGGCAGAGATCACCCCTGGAGAGACGAGGAAACCCAAACCCAGGCATTGGGTTACTGATGGTGTATGGCCCAACTAGTAAGTGATCAGGACAGGCTGGGGAGGGCCGGGGGAGCTCCCTGCACACAGCGGCCCACTACCCAGCCTCCCGCTGTGCAGCTCACCTGAAGAAAGAAGGCTGAGTCCTTCTGGTATATCCTCACCAACTGCATGTTGGCCACGGTGTCGATGCAGCCCATGGCTAGGCCCGCCAGCGCTATGACCGAGGCCAACACCTTCACGTCATGGCAGAAGGGGATGACAGCAAATACCAGGGAGATGACCAGGGTAGAGGTGAAGAGGGCCCATAACGACTGGGCCAGGCTGGGCAGGGGAGAGCTGGAGTTAGCAGAGGAGCCCAGAGCCTTCCTGGAAGGCCCCTCCTCCTTGCCCTTGCAGCAGAAAGGGAACTGCTCACAAGCTGTGGGTTGTAAGCAGGTGGATGAGTAGGCTCTGGTCCTAAGCACAGCAATGGCCTCTCATGGCTGCCGTGAATACGTCAAATGTCATACTGATGCTCACAAAGGCTGACTAGCATGCTATATTGTTTAAACCTTATTCTCTCTAAGCAATTGTATGCAATAATATTCCTGTCTCTCCCGGGGAGGCTACTTTGAGCATCTCAAGGGAACAGTGCCATACATTTACAAATAAAGGTTGGAGACCCAGGATGAGCCTGAGCCTGGAAGTCCTCAGCTGGGTAAGAGTAGGGGTCAGGTAAGCCACATGTGCCCTTCACACAGAAATTGACAAGAGTTGTACTCTCGGGCAAGACCAGGCTGCCAGGACCAACACAGAATTTGGTTAATTTAGGGACTCTCCTCTTTAAGGACAGAAGTCAGGGGCTATTCCTAATAAGGCCAGTCTGAGCAGTTCCCAGTTCAGACAGACATCAGAGCAGCCCTCCCCAGGCATGCTGAGGGCTGTCCCCATGAGAGGTGGATGTCAAAGTCCTGTTGGCAGGGAATTGTGCCTGATACCAAATGCTCAGAGAAAGGATCTAAGACTTGTGTGTTTTGGGACCAGTCTACAGGCTAGAGTACTGTGTTGGGGGCAGAGTTGGGCAGCAAGAAGATTCTGAAGGTTGTGGAAGAACATCCTCCGATTATGAAAAGGGAGAGGTGGGGCCAGCCGACCTCTGAGGTTCTAGCACACTGGAAGGGAAGGGGGGCAGTCCCCAGAGATGTAGCAGGCTGTCTTTTGTCAGCACTTGACTCTGATCTCCTGGGCACACTGCCATCCCATCTCCTTGTATCTGATTAAAGCTTTTATCAGAAGAGTTCTGTTGATAGCAGTAGTTCGTTATTTTGTTATTTTTTCTCATTTCCAGGCTGATCTGGTGGGGGAGATTACTGTTCATGACCCCTGTCTGTTCTCTCTTGGAATCTGGGGGTAGACTTGCTTCAAGGCCTGGCTTAATAGGATGGAGGGAAAGTGGCTACAATTTGGGTGGTCTGTTCACCAGAGACAGACTTGCAAGGGAGGCTTGCAGCTCTCCCTTGGGCCCGGCTCTGATAGTCCCCAGCCTGATTACCCAGCTGTCCTACTGCGGTGCTTGCTTGCTTGCTTGTGTTTCTGCTTCCTGCTCTGTGATACCACATTTCATTTGCCTCTTCCTCTGGACCCAGCACAGAAGGGATACCCATCCAGGTGAAAACAGTAGACCTCTCCTTTCCACTCTCTTTCTCCTCCCTCCCCCACCAGGTCCTTTCCTAGTATAAGACAGACAGGCAACCTCTTGAGGACCAACTTCAGGGATGGCACAAGGCACTTCTATGTGTACCTTCACCAACCCACTAACACCATCTCCCTCACCAAGTTTAGTACAAAGGCTCTCTGAGGAACTAATACATTACATACATCCGTTATCCCAGCACTTAGGAGGCAGAAGGAGGAAGAGAGAGAGAGAGAGAGAGAGAGAGAGAGAGAGATCAGCACCAGCCTGGGCTACATAGCAAGACCATTTATCAAAAACACGAAAGAAACCAATTGGGCACGAGGTAGGAGAGAGGCTCAGTGGGGGACTGTGTGCTTTGCATGTATCTAGCCGGCACCCAGGGGCTGCAGCTTGTGTGGAAGTGGTTCAGTGTAGCAATTGCTTTCAGCAAAATCCTGAGGGATGAGACCTAAGACCAGTCAATCTGTGACAGGAAGAAACCATATGGAGGTAGGGGAAGGATAGAACAGGTAACAGTTGTGTTACTGTGTTCGTGGAAGCCACTGGAGTTTGTTGGGTGCCATATACTTAGTTTATCTGAGAATACAGTGAGCTGGACTTGAAGCTTGTGCCCATTTGACCTATGAGTGAACCCAGGCGAGGAGGAGGCAGATGTGGAAAATCCCTTCCCATGTCTCCTGCCAGGACTTGGGCTGCAATTGGAGTCTAGGCCTGCAGCTGAAGTCTGCAAGGCTGACCCCACATTTGTTCTGGGTTCTTGGGCCAAAAAGTAGGCCAGGAGCTCACTCTTCCAGGTGCTTTAGGGCTGTGCATGGACATTCCAGAAATCCTTTAGAACTTAAGCATATTCATTGCCTATTTTAAATGACTGAGGTAATAGTTCCTTCCAGGAACATGGGTCGCTAGGGATTACGGAGTAATCGTGTTGAAACAGTTTGACATCAAGGATGCAGTGGAGTGTGTGGTCAAAATGCTGGGTTCAAGGCTCAACTCTGCTACTGCCTGATGGTACAACCTGTGACAAGCCACTACTACAAAGCCCCTGTGAGCCTCAGTCTCCTCCACTCTAATTGGGGATAGCAAGTCCTCCTTCTCAAAGCCTCAGGCATCTCCTTTCCAGTGCTCATCCTTCCTTGCAGCCCTGAGCTTCTCCAAAGTCAAAGCAGGGGCTGGAGAGATGGCTCAGTGCTTAAGAGCACTGGCTGTTCTTCCAGTGGCCCTGAGTTCGAGTCCCAGCAACCACATGGTGGCTCACAACCACCTGTAATGGGATCCAATGCCCCTCTTCTGGTGGTGTGAGTACACCTCTTCTGGTGTGTACTCACATAAAATAAATAAATCTTAAAAACAAACAAACAAACAAAGACTGCTCTTCCAAAGTCAATGCAGGACCCAGGATGTGTGCCAGCAAGAAGAGGGCATGGACCAGTGCCAACTCTAGGCTTCTTCCCACCTATCTCTGTTCCTGCTGCCATACACTGAGAGTGATCCCTGGAGTGATCCAGGAATGTACCAGGAACCCACCTCCTTCCTGGTCCCACACAGTGGCACAGCTAGAGTAGCAGCAGCTAGGACCTGAGAGATCGTCTCACTTCACTTTAAAGATCAGGAAACTGAGGGAAGAGAGTGGCATACAACTGAGCCCAGGGTCTTGATTCCCAGGTAAGGCAGAGACCAGTAGAGTGCCATTGGCCTGTCCTCCGCTGGACCGCAGATGTGAATTTGGGTCAGTTAAAGGCATCTCTTTCCTCCAAGGCTTAAGAAACTTGCCAGTGAGCCTGATACGTGGTCAAGTTACTGATTAATGACCCCACTCGGAGTTGTAAATGTGAGTGGAGAGGAGGGGCCGCCATCCTCCCTCAGGCTGGCTGTGACTATGGTGGTGTTGCCTGCTGGGCCACTCTGGCTATGTGACCTTGAGAAGGCTGCTAACCCCCTCTCAGCAAGGGTTGCCAGGTACACATGTGACCACCTTGGGGTGTTTCTGCCTTGGGCACCTGGTCTTGGCTTCCTGGTACTGTGAAAAGAGGCAAGACTGCATGGCTCCCATTCAGACAGAGCCTGCTCCTGCCCTCTGTCCCCAGACAGCAAAGAATGCTGCTGAGCCCCAACTCCATGCTGCCTGGGTCTGGGATAGCACATTCTCCTCAGGAATCCTCTCTCCAGGGGATTGACAGGATTGCACCTTTCTCGTGGAAAGGGCTGGAGGACAGACTAGAGGAAGTCACAGTGGGCCACCTATCAACTTCAAGGGGACAGAGAGCCCATCCTTCCAGGAACTAGGATCAGTGATCAATTTCCTCTCAGCTGATGGGGACAAGGAAGGTTCCCTATAACTCAATCACCTCAGGCCTCCATGCTGATGCTTCAGCCTGTTCATGGTCCTACACTGAGGAGGCAGGACTGCCTGTTTGACTTGGGCTGGGGCTGCACCTTCCTCAACGGCTCACTGGGTGCTGGGCATGTGAGCAGTGCCATACACCCAACCATAGGCTCGTCTGCCTAGAACACCTCTCCCCCACTTCCTGACGTGCCTGACCTGTTCCTCAGGAGCCAATTCCTAATGTCACCTCCCCAAAGTGGCCTACCCAGAACACCTAGCTAGAGCAGCTCTGGCCCTCTCTGTCCCTATCCTATTTCACCATCATACATTGCCCTCCAGAATGGACACTTGGCAAGAACAGGGACCTTGTCCGGAGCCCTCACCCCTGAATCAGCTTATGGCTTAAAGAAGCATTTGTTAAATGAATCGATTACTTCCTGGGATGAGTTCTGGGATGTTTTTATAATTAAAACTTTGATACATGGTTTCTATACAATCAAATCCAACTATTTAAGTGTACAATTCATTTTTCTTTTCATATTGTGAGTAGTGAGCCCATTACCATAGTTTAAGTTTTGTGGTTCGTGTATTTGTTTTTGTGAGATAGGGTCTCATTATATAGTCGAGTCAAGGCTTGTCTACAACTCACAATCCTGCCTTAACAGTTCCACCCTTGCCTAACCATCCTACCAAGTGCTGGGATTATAGGTATGTCTTGCGGCGTCCAGCTTAAATTTAAAGTATTTCCATCGCCTCAGAGAGAAACTCTATATCCATCAGTAGTCACCCCTGTGTGCTTCTTCTTACCACTTACTACAAGGCTTTTTTTTTTTCCACTCCAGAGCCTGTGTACTGGACAGCTCATGTGAACGGTCTCATACCCTGTGTGGTCTTTCATTACCGGCTGGTTCATGGCCAGCGCTTTGGCTGAATGAGACACCCGTAAGCATGACTCCGTAGGCTGCCTGACCCTTTATTTATGCCACATTTTATTTAGCTGGCCATCTGCCTATGAAAGTAGACCTTATTCCCACTTACTTATTATGAGCAGTGTTGCTGTGAACATCCATGGACACATTTTTGCATGGACAAATGTTTTCACTTCCTTTGGGCGTATTTGCTGGGGACAGATTCTCAATTAGTCCAGGTTGGCCTCAAACTCCTTATGTAGTGGAGGATAACTCTGAATTTCTGATCCTCCAGTCTCCCTCTCCCAAGGACTGGGATCACAGGCACACACCACTAAGCCTGATTTTGAGATGTTTTAAAATAAGAACCTGTCTAGTGCTGAATTCCCTTTAGGACTCTGGCACATATAACATGTTTCTAATAAGGTTTGTAGCATGTCGAAAGGTGGACAAACTGATGAAGGGACAAACAGAGTCTGTCTAGAAGTGAGGCCAATCAGAGCCCAGTCCAGGGAGGAGAACTGTCAGCGCTATGTTCCAGGGACTTTAAGGGCCCAGTGACGTGAGATGCAACCGGACTGCAGAGCTGGTTATGAGGAAGGGTTTGAAGACACAGTTTGCTACAAAGGGTTTGCAGGGGAGGCATTCTTAGCTGAGTCCAGGCAGCATAGGATTTGAAGATAAGGAATTTAAGTTAAAAGAATAGATAAGGAAGGTGTCAATTGGCAAACATCAAGAAGCCCGCAACTATCTGGCCTTATGGTACAGGGGAGAAGCTATGGGAAGGCAGGGAGTCTTTGGAGAAGATCTCAAATCATGTATTTACTGATGTCCCTGAGATAAGGGGGTTTCCCAACCACCCTGGGTGGTTAGACAGGTCCCACAAAACCAGAAAAAAAAAAACCAAAACAACTCTCTAACCTTTTGTCTAAATACCCATTACCTCTTTTGTAAACCAAAGCCTAGCCACCCTGTCAGCCAGGTGGCTTTCTAAGTCTCTTCTTTAGATTTCCTCTTGGTGCTCAACAAGATTTTCCCAAGGGAAGCTCTAGTTCAGGTCCTTGTGGCTACTCTTTCTCTGGGCTGGCAGTTGGCCTGTTTAAAGGTCTAGGTCTCTGTCTCTGCTAGGAGTAGGGAAGAAGCCTGGTGTTGCCCTGAGATCTACTCCAACGCCTGCACCACGGAGATGTCTAGAAGGCCCCTGTGGCCCAGAGCTCTCAGATTAGTCTAAGCAGTAGATGGTGCTTAAGCAATACTCCAAAGAAAGGCCTCTGGTGTGTCATTCCCACACCGTCTCTATACAGCTGCTCCTTGAGATTTGTGAAGGCAATCCCCTATCCCCAGAGCCAGCCTGGCACACTGACTAGTAATCACATAAGCTGAAAAGCACTTCCTTGCAGGGACATTAGCATTTCAACAGAGACAGGCGAGGCTGTGCAACACTTGGTACAGACCATGTCAGGGCTGGCAGAACGTCTGTTCACTTTGGGGGTGGGGATGGGGATGGGGAGACTGCCCAGAGTTAAGCAGGTGGGTGATGTCCTTACTAATACTCAGGGTCTTCCCCTCTTTCCCACCAGAACCTTGCTTTGCTCTTTATCAAACAAAATGGTTCTTGGTGACATTTTGTTTTGAAGATGTGAGCACTAAAGCTCAGAATTTAAATTTGAATCACCAGGAGTTCTACCCAGCTCTGGAAGAGCCCAACAGAAGGCCAGGAGGCCCACATTGCCTTCCCAGGCACTGCCAGAGCTCTGGAATACCCAGCCCATGAAGACACACAGGACATCCATCTCTTGCATGAAGCTCAGTTATCTATCGAGCAGTCATTGACACACATAAGGCACGAGCCACTGCCAAGGCTTCTGGGACTATAGTTAAATGCCCACGTTCAAACCCTGGAACTATGCAATATCAGACAAAGCGTGCCTCCCTCTCCTCCTACCTGCCTTTCTTTTTCTTTCTTTTTGACTGCTTGAGACAGGGTCTTGCTATGTAGCTCAGGCTGGCCTCCAATTCAAGATTCTCTTGACTCAGCCCCCAAAGAATTGGGATTAGCACCCCTAGCTAAATCTTTTAACCCTTCTGTGTCTCCACTTCCTCCTATATAAAATGGAGACAGTAACATTACTTTGCAGGGCTGTGGTGAAAACCAAATGGGTTGATATAAGACCTTTTGCACAGTGGTTAGTTACTATTGTTAACATTGTTGTGGTTTCCTGCTGCAGGATTCGCTCTCTGTTCAGAGCCTTGGGGGATACTCTTATCTAGAGGGAGGACCAAAACCAGGGAGAGATGGCCCAGTTAGGGGTATATCTCTTCCCATTTCGGAAAAGTGGACTTGCCAACGTGTCCCTTAGAATGATCCTCATTCTCCTTCCTGTTTGAGCTACACGTGTTTCTAGGAGCACAATATAGCACATCTGTGAGGATTGGGATGTGGTCCAGCAGCAGGGAGTTCACCTGGCATGCAAGCTTACCTGAGTTCCATTACCAGCACCCCCAAACAACAAGAACAGAGCCCCTCCTCCAACATTCAGAGATACTCACTTCTCCTTTTCATGAATTTTCTAGCTGAACGTATCTTCAGAATTCCTGTGTATCCGACTCTATCCCACAAAGTACTGATAGGCAAAGGAAAATTGCTTCTGAGAATTCTTGCATTTGCAAGAGGATGTGGGGAAAATGAAAATAGTCACTCCCCAATTGCTGAGGTGCAGCAGGCTCTGGATTGCTTGGACTGGGGTCCATTTTATACCAATACCTGTATTGCAGCTTCCTACAGCTGCATACCTGGAAGACTGAGCCCTAGAGCCCTTTGGCCCAGAATGGCTCCATCACAAGGTCTTTTATTATCTATCTATCATCTATCTATCTATCTATCTATCTATCTATCTATCTATCTATCTGGTTTTGCAACAGACCTCCCATTTGTGGTTTTGCAGTCCAGATAATTGTTCGTTTAGAAAGTAGAACGAGGAAGACCACACAGCAGCCTCTGGTGTGCAAGATGTTCATTCCTCAGTTCTAGGTCTCAGTTCTAGGTCTATTCCTGGCTGTACAGAGACTGAAGGCTGCTGTCTTTCTAGAAATATCCTAAGAGGGGTCCCTACACCAGGAAAATGGAGCACTGCATGGCACCCAAAAGGGTAACATTCCGAGTGCCAGGGAGAGACCGGAGCTCTGTCCTGACAGAGGCCAGGGAGGAGTAACAAGGTGGAGGAATACAGAGGGGGGTTCCTCTGGTGAGGTAGAGGACGGATGAGAGGCTCTACACTTCTCTACCTGGCCCTAGGTATGTGAGTTTCAGGGGCCCAAAGGCTCAGCCTCCGCAGGCTAATGCTGCAGCTGTTTCCCTTTTGAGACCCCAGGAACCTCACCATCTAGGTAAAGGAATCAGCTGTGTCAACTGACGTGGAGCCACTATGAGTGGAGCCACCAATAGGTTCCTAGTCAAACCACGGGCCAGCCCTGTCACTGAGAACTGCCCCCTGAGCTGGCACCGCCAATTGTCTTCCTTTCAGTGCCAATTCCACCTCCGGCGCCCGGGCTACAAAATCTCAGAGGAACAGAGCAATGAGGGTCTTACGCATCTCTGTACATTCCATCACTCTTTGGCTGGTGGGCTCGGTGAGCGAGGGCGAAAGGGTTCTGAGCTCTCTCGGGGGAGGTGGGGTGTGAGTGAGACAAACCCATAGCCCAGATGTCACCTTCAGTCCTGAGAGAGTTTACCGGGAAAGCTTGGGGTGGGGGGAGGGAGGCTGCCCCTGGGCTAAGATCCAGCCCAGCTGGGCAGGTGGTCACAGCTGCGGGGATGTGGAGGGGCGCACGGGGCGCGACACTCACGTCCTCTTGAAGACACCCCCGAGGGCGCTGCCCAGCAGGAGGCAGAGCTGCTGCGAGAAGAAGACCCAGGAGATCTGGGGCAACGAGCTGTGCGTCTGGCAGCGCAGGTCCAGCAGCGTGGGCCCCAGGAAGGCGATGCACAGGCCGAAGCTGAAGAAGACGCTCCAGTAGGTGAGCGTGGGCTGTAGGTTGCGGCGGAGCAGCTCAGACACCCGGCCGTCGCAGCCCATGGCTCGGCCGGCAGCTCGCAGCGAGCCCAGGGCCGAGTGCGGTGGCCAACAGGAGGGAGGGCGGGGAGGAGAGGAGAGGAGGGGAGCGCCGCGCGGCTGCCCCGCCCTCGGCCAGCGCGGGGACGCCTGGAGGTTCGGGGCGTCGCGGACGCACGTGGCCCGCCGCGGGGACCGCCCCGCCTTGCTTCACGTTCCCGGGGGCCCCAGGCTGGAACCCACCCGGGAGCAGGACCCGTCAGCTAGTGCCAAGGGCTCCGCGCGCCCTACACTGCGCAGCCTTTCTGCCTGGCGGTGTGAATCCTCATCACTTGGTCCTGGGGGTGCTGCGGGTAAACTTCGAGGGTCTGCCAGCGCCACCCTCTACCACCCCCCCCCATGCCCTACCTACCACGGGAATAAAAGCAGTCTTATCTGTACATGGTTTTCTTGTGGCTTTCATTTGGAACCTCCAGGGGTCCAGCACATTGTCCTTTTGAAAAAACAAACACTCCCAGGAACTTGGACATTCATTTTACTGCTTTTAGGCTCTGGGATTGACCCCAAGGCCTATAGCATGCTAGGCAAGTATCCCCAGTCCTAGAAATTTAGGTCTTCTCCATTCTATACCTGGGGATGGGAGGGCATCACCCCCTACCTGTCCCATCACAGGTGTGGAAGGCAGTAAGGCCTGGCTGTGTTTAGGACTCTATTTCTTCTTCCCAATGCAGTGAGGGAGGGCAGGAACCCCTGGACTCCCAGAGAAATTCAGAGATAATTCTCCAGGCAGAGTCCACACCAGAGCCTAGGAGCAGAGCAGTTAAGGCCCTTCAGTGTCTCCTTTGCCAAGTATCTTAGAGTGGTGGAGGTTGTGACATCGTGCCCGCTTGTATCCAGAGGTACCAGGGCTGAAAGCTCACAGAAGTGTTTGGCTGGGTGACCCCCATGACAACTTGGCATGAAGTGGAGATAATCAACTTCTCCTGCAGGGACACCTCCTCAAAGTGCTACCCCATACCTGTTCCAGCCTGCCCTCGACTATGCATCAGAGGAAGGCTCCAGTTAGTATCCCTCTGGCTTATTTACTCTGTGGGAGATGGCGTGGACTAATTTAATAGCAGTAAGGGTGGGATTTGTAGTCCGTGGAATAAAGTACAAAGTTATCACCTGAAAAAATTATCATTAGCCACAGCTGTGAAATTCTAGAGGAATGGCAGTTTAGAGATGGGAAGGGTGACCTGGGGCTCGGACCCCTATCTCTTCCCCATTATCCCCATGATAGTGTGATTAGTGTGATAGCTTTCTTCTTGACTGACACGTCTATGGATGGAGACTTTGCTTGCCACTTTCTTTTCATTTCTTAAAACATTTTTTTAGATTTGTTTATTTTATGTATGCTTTGCCTGCCTGTATGTCTGTACACCATGCCTGGAGCCCATGGAGGTCAGAAGAGGGTGTTCAATTGCCTGGAACTGGAGTTACAAATATTCACAATGTGGGTGCTGGGAATCGAACCTGTGTCCTCTGCAAGATCAACCAGTGCTCTTAACTGCTGAGCCATCTCTGCAGCTCCTGCTTGTCATTTCCTAGTGTCCTGCCCGCATTGTGCATCAGCTGTGGGTAGGGTGGGTCTTGCACTAAACTGAAATGTTTCTCCTTGTAACTGTTCCCCAGAACCTCACAGAGCAGCCCTCCCACTCTGCACCTGCTAGCCCCTCCCCCCAACACGTGATCTGCATGCAAGGACTTTATACAAATGATCTGGACACAGAGATTTTATGTCTCCAGTTAGAAGACCTGGAACCTTTGTGATTTCTCTAGATGATGCATGCCAGCAACATCACCCTACTGGCTGGCTTCTCAGCCACAGTGGCTATAAGCCTGGTAACAATGATGCAGCCCAAGTCTGGTTACTATTGACTTTCAGAGACTGACACTTCCAATATATTGATTTTTTTTTTTGGCAAGCTGAGCAATTTGAGCTAAATAAAAACCAAAAGGTTTAAAATGTTTAAAATAAAGACCAAGTAACCTGTACTTTCCCCTCTTCTTCTCCCCACCCCTCCACTCCTTCCCTTTCTCTTCCATTCTTCTTTCCATTTTGTTTGTTTGTTTATCTATTTCCCCAGTTGGTGCTAAAGACCAAACTCAGGGCATTATCTCTTCCACGCTACATGCATGTTCTGTCACTGAGCTAAATCCCCAGCTGTTCCTGAACCTTGCCTTTCTTCTCTCTCTTAAGCATGGGGAGAGGATTCCATGAAAATCTCTTTGCAGCAATAAGGCCAGATTACAGAAGGACCCCATCACCCACCTCATAAAGGAAGAGTGGGGACCAGAACACACCTGATTGTACTTCTATGTAAGATAACAACTGTCCCCTCATTGGTCTCCGAGATTGTCTCCAGAATCAGTGACTTCCTGACAATCACTTAAAAGTTCTTAAGATTGTGTAAACATATCTATTCTCTCCCTCCTCTATAGCAAAAGAGACACCTAAGTTTCTAACATTGGTTGGGTAAGGCAGTCACACCCCTGTGATTTCACCCATACCCAGGGTTCAACCTTTTATCCTATTTCGTGTTCCTTGGTTTACTCTAACAAACTTCCAAAGGACAGAGGAAACCTCCCTTCACCCCTTCATCACCCAGTTAGAAACATCTGTAAACGTTTGCTGGGCTGCACACTTAAAGTGTAGGCATTTTATCATGTGTAAGTTATACTATAATAAAACAGTAATAAAGGAAAGTAAGCAAAAATGAGGTGAACACCCCCGTACCCCGAATCCATACTCAGCCTTCTTACAGTCGGAGGCTGTTGGATGCTGTACTGTGGGCCTTTGGGTGGAGATGTCAGGTGAGGAGAGAGGGGCAGCCATGTGGTATGCTCTGCAAAGGGGATAACTTGAAAAGCCAGAGGGAGCAGGACAGGTGATGTGGGAAGCAGACCTCGAGGATGAGAGCTACATCTGAGGGTCGGACTCAGCCTCTCTCCTCCACCGCTTCTGTCTTCCAGCCTCACACATTCCTTTTGAAGAATTCAAGCTCAGAAGCTGTAAAGGCCAGATGACTTTATTTGGGGGGACTAAGAACTTCAGCTGGGGAAAACTCAGATCGGTCTGTTATGAGTGAGTGTACCAACAAGATCCATCACATAGATCCAAAGGACAAGGGGGCCCCACAGTTACATGGGAGGAGGGTGAGTGTCAGAAAGACAAGCGTCTCACCCACTCTCCAGGCTACTGCTACTGGGCTGAACACGATTGGTTGAGCTGTTTGCATGTATAAAGTTCGTTAGTCATTTGTGAGATTGTTACAGTTGCTGAATCCAATAAAAGACCTTAATACTTTCTGAGGTCTTGGCCCAGCTCAAGGTTCTCAGTCCCATGTTATTTTCATGGCCAGTTTAAGATTTCTACCTCCCTAGCCAGGATGCTACATGCCTACAGTCCCAGCACTTGAGAGGTAGGGGGAGGAGTTCCAGGTCACCCCAGCTACATAGAGTTGGCTATGCTACGTGAAACCCTACCTAAAAAAAATAAGCAATAAATTTCTTTGCAGCAGCCTAATGTTTGCATAGATTAGTAGTTCCTTAAAGTTCTCCCAGTCCATTTTATTTTTTATTTACTTTTGGTTTTTTGAGACAGAGTTTCTCTGTGCAACCCTGGCTGTCTTAGAACTTGCTCTGTAGACCAGGCTGGCCTGAAACTCAGAGATCCTCCTGCCTTGAGGCCTCTCAAGAGCTAGAATCAAAGACGTGTGCCACCACACCCAGTTTACGGCTCCAATTTTATTTTAAAATCTCCTCAAACGCTAGCTTTTATGAGAAAGGGAGGATCACAAGGCCCTAATGGTTGCTGGAGGAGGAAGAGACATTTTTTTCAGTGATGTGATCTCTGGTAAGTGACCAGCATTCCTATAAATAATTCCCATCCTGTAAGTAACTCTAATTAAATTCACAGGATTATCACACATGCAGAGACACACTCATATACACACATATCCACATACACACACACACATATACACAGACTCACAGACACACACTCACACACACACATATACATACTCACACACAGGCACACACATATACACACACTCACACACAGACACACACACATATGCAACATAGTTGGTTGAACTGTTTACAGGTATAAAGTTTTTAGTCATTTGTGAGATTTTTATAGCTGCTGTATCCAATAAAAGATGTTAATACTTTCTGAGGTTTTGGCCCAGCTCAGCGTTCTCAGTTCTACACTCATAGACACACACATACACACACACACTCTCACACACATACACACACACTCATACACATATACACACACTCATGCACAGACACATACATACATATTCACAGACACACACACTCACACACATATACACACACTCACACACATATATACACCCTCACAGACACACACACATACACACACTCACACACATAGATACACACACAGACACACACATAGATACATACAGACACATACTTACACACATATACACACATACTCACACACACATACACACACACTCTCAAACACATACACAATATGAAAGTACACGGAAGACTAGCTGGGAAGAGGAAAGGGGTCAGGGGGGTGGGAGGAGGGCAAGAGAGGGTAGTGAGGAGGCTGAAGATGGTCAAAGCATATCATGTACAGATAGATATAAAACTGTGATCATGGAGCCCATTATCGAATATAACTAACATATGATAGTACTTTTTTTCAAAAAGAAGATAATAAATGTTTCAGTCTGAGATGGTTACTTAGAATGTCAAGGTGTGCCCTCCTTGTGCATTTAAAATAAAACCAAGCCGGGTGCTGGAGAGGTGGCTCAGTGGTTAGGATCACTGATTGCTTTTCCAGAGGACCTAGGGTTTGTTTTCCAGTACCCACTGGCAGCTCACCACCATCTAGGACTCCAGTCTCTCTCTCTTCTGGCTTCAGCAGGCAATGGGCACACAAGCATTGTGCAGACCTATATACAGGCAAGACATCCATACACATAAAATACAAGTTAACCTGGGCGTGGTGGTACAGGCTTTTTAATCCCA